ATGCATGGAGAGATGCTATTATTAACAGACAGGTTGGGGCTAAACCATTGATCAGTATATTAAAAACTAAGTAGGGCGCCTGGGTGGCTCAGTTGGTTAAGCGACTGCCTTCAGCTCAGGTCATGATCCTGGAGTCCCGGGATCGAGTCCCACATCGGGCTCCCTGCTCAGCAGGGAGTCTGCTTCTCCCTCTGACCCTCCTCCCTCTCCTGCTCTCTGTCTCTCATTCTCTCTCTCTCAAATAAATAAATAAAATCTTTAAAAAAAAAAAAATAAAATAAATAAATAAATAAATAAAAACTAAGTAAACAAACAATCAAAATTATAATGATCCATTCAGCAAAAGAAAAAGTTGTGCAGAAAGGGTAAAATAATAACAACATTCTAAATGCTTCATTGTGAATAATGTTTACATAGTTATAATAACGTAACCACTAAATATTTATCCAAATTTTGATATAACTGCATGGAAAAGAGGGAGAATTAGGAAGAGTGTGTGAGTGTGTGTATGTTGGGGGTCAGGGGTGGGTGGTGAAAGGAAGCTAAATTTTCACCTTCTGCAGGGAGAAGTCTATAGACAATGCCTAAAACCGAAAAACCAAGAAGCACCAATATGAATTGATATTTAGATATCTGGAGTTGAATCCTAAATGATTAAGACAAGAGAGTTGAAAGCACTTGGCTCTGGGGAGAAGGAAATTAAAGTGATAGGGAAAAGGGAGTTATGTAGGTACTTAGAGTTTTGGGAACAAACCCTGTGAAACAGTCAACTTTCAGCCACATGTGTGTATCATTTGGATAATAACAAAGAGGAAAAAGGAGGAAAGGAAGGAGGAAAGAGGACAGAGAGGTAAGGACACAGGGAGGAAGGGGAAAAAAGAGGAAAGAAAAAATTTTAAGAGACAATACAGATAAAAATGAAAGAGCCTAACAGATAAAATGTGGTTTTTATTGAAAAGGAAAACCAAAGTCCAAACATTTTTGGAAAAGTGTAAGCTTTAAATAAATACAGACTAGATCTCTGTGTCTCCTAGCTCTCAATTTTATATCTAATTGCCAAATGGCAGCATATAAAAAAATATTCATGCTCTTTCCCTCCAAATCCCCTTTTTTCCATCATTTGTAAGTGATGACACTTTCATACCACTGCTTTGTTCCCACGCCCCCTCCCCCAACATCCTATGGGTTCTCTCCATTCTTTCCACTTTATTATCTAGGGCACCATCACCTTTCCAAACTGGTCTGCCTGCTTCCTGTCCATCCTCTAACAGGCAGGCAGAGCAAGCTTTCTAAAATTCAAAGCCATTCACACCACTCTCTTGCTTAAAACTCTTCTGTGGTTCTCACTGCCTTTAGGATAGGTTTAAACTCCTTAATCTGGCATATAGGACTTCATGCTCTGACCTCTAACTACCTCTGAAGCTTCATTTTTTTAACATACTCAGGAATGCCTCTCATTCCACCCCATCTCTAAGTTCCAGCCTGCCACACTGAAGGCTTTTGCAGGTCCTCAAACCCAGGGTGCTCTCACATCTGAGCCCCCGCATTGCTGTGCCCTTTATCCTAAAAGTTCTTCAAAGAATATTATATGCAAAAGTATGTGTGTTTGTGCCTATGTATGCATACATGCATAAAACTTGCAAATGATTTTGACATTATTTATAAGGCCCCCGAACACTAATTTTGGACCCCACTTTAAGAACCCATTCCTTGGGCGCCTGGGTGGCTCAGATGGTTAGGCAGCTGCCTTCGGCTTGGGTCATGATCCCAGGGTCCTGGGATCGAGTCCTGCATCGGGCTCCCTGCTCCTTGGGGAGCTTGCTTTTCCCTCTGCCTCTGCCTCTCTCTGTGTGTGTCTCTCATGAATAAATAAATAAAATCTTAAAAAAAAAAGAGCCCATTCCTTAAGTTATAAGCAAGCTTACAAGTGCTATAAAAAAGTTCTGAAATACATCATTCAGAATATTTACATATAAAGCATACATGAATTACACATATTAATATTAGCTATTTTTCATGTCACTGGAATATTCTCCATTGCCCTTCCTCCCAAAGAAAGTTGGTTAAATGATTATCCTAAAGTTGGTTTCCGTGAGAAGGGGTAACCCTAAGTGAAAACATCCCTTCACTGTTTTGAGAACAGTAAGATCCTAGAATTTGAATACTTCTACCTCATAAGAATGCCTGAGCATGCTGTTACAAAAAAAAAAAAAAAAAAAACTTAAAAAAACTGGATATTAGATGAACAGCTGTGTAGAAAGGGGAATGTAAAAATAAAAACTGCGTGTTGCAGCATCAAAATAGTAACCATATACAGTATATGACTGTTTTTAATCAGATGAAGATTGAAGCTATTACATTTCAAATCAAATGTTATAAATTAGTTCAAGAATGCAGCTGAGCTCTCATTTAATTAGAAATGTCCATGTTTAAATCATGAGGTACAGTAGCTGCCAATGGAGCAAAAGGGCAAGGGAAGGGAGAAATCTGTGTCCAGACCCTCAACTGTCTCCTATGCAGGATGAACATCTGGGGGTGGACTATCCTGATGTCATGAAGAACTTCATGTACTAGCTAATTTGAGATTTAATGTAATTGAACATAATTGTTTTGAAGACAATTAAAATCATTATTCTGGTCTGGACAATTCTGAACTCTTCATTTTTGTGTGAAACGTATTTTCCCCCATGCTGAATTTTAACCCTTTCTTGGATAAAAAGTATGGCAAATTTTGGGCCAGGATTTCCCTGGGAAATAATCTTTAAATTGTCAGCTCACATTAAAATGCAGCACAAGCAGTGAGGTGCTCCTCTGGAAACAAGTCTCTTTTCCTATGGCTAGTACTTGGTGTAGCTCAGCTTAGCCAGAGTCCAAATCTACATCCCAAATGTTAGACAATTCAGCATTAAATAAAAATGAGGCAACATCATACAGGGACTTCTGAGGTCATACAGAGAAGAATGCAATTATCCTAAGGCGGACTTCCCTCCAAAGGTTATGAGCCTCTGCATCTTGTAATTAACCACGGTGCAGCTAGACAGTCCAGGCAAAAGGTCTTTCTTTTCTCCCAATTTGCCTAATTCAAAAACACCTCAAGTGACATAGCTCAAATTTTCCAAATTAAATTCACCCCTGGGGCTGAAATCAAGCACGTGACAGTTCAGTTCCAAAGCAAATCTTAAAGAGAGTTGTGCATAGGGAAAGAAAAAAAAAATCAGAGGAAAAAGGGGTAGGAGTTAACATTTAAGTGGTTTTTCAACCTCATCATTACCCCTGCTCAAGAAAATAGGACACAGATGGGCAAAACACACCATTGTTCTGCCCTGAAGAGTCTAAGGAACTCATTAGAAACTACTGTTTTTCTCATGATCTATGGTGAATCTGTAAGGGACAAATGGTTGATTTGCCCCATCCCAGGGCATTTAGAGTTCCACAGTGTTGTCGGGTGGAAAGTGGAAAGATAGTCACAGAGACACAGTATGCATTGCAACCCATGAGAGCCTATTGTTGATGTAGTTCTTCAAGGTCAACTCTTACCAGGGAGTTGAGGAATGATTATATTATCACAAACTGTTCTGATTTGTGAAAAATGGTTTCCAATCAGGAATGACACACTACCCTCAACTTTCTCGTACTTCTGGCCACAGCTCCACACTCGTCCCGTGGGACACCAGAGAGAGGGTAAATGGGAAAGAGGTTCACTGCTCCCAGGCAAGAGTGGATCCCCTCTCGAACCTCCATAGTAATAGACTTAAAGGCCTCCAAGCTGGCAGCCAGAAGAGAATTGCCTTAAAATGTGAAATTGTAAACAGCAATCACTAAACTTTCACTTGCATCTAAAGAAGCAGCTATAATTTTACTGTCCCACTTGTTGTTTTTCTTTTGCAATCTGTATAGGAGGTTATTTTTATCCAAATAAAAAAAAAAAAGATCCAACCGTTTCCTTTCATCTCACCTCCCAATTGTCATAAAGTTTCACATTTCTGCCAGCAATTTTATTCCCAAAAGTGGAGGAATTATGCAATGTTCATCAGTCTTAAACAATTTCGTATTTTTTTTCAGTTGGTTACTTCAAATTTTTTCAATTTTATCAAATTAATCTGATAAAATTCCGTGTTATTTTCAGAATGCTTTATGAATAATTACATTACAATATACACACATACATTTTTCTGAAACGTAAGTATTTGATTTTGCTCTTGTTCAGTAATTAGATTTTTCCATTGAATCATTCATCTAAGTGCATTTTATGGACACCTATACCACTAGGACTCTGAGTTTTCATTAGTGCAATATGGCCATTTTAGCAATAGAGATAAACAACAAAGAAGCAAATTTACATCCTATGATTAACATTCAAGATAATCTGTCCTATGTTTGCTGGAAGTTATCAGTCCACTCTGCTCTCCAAACAAATAGGCCTTTTGAAAGAAGACACTGCCAAGTTGAAATCAGGTTTATTTGAAAATATCTTGAACCCTTTACTAAGCAATATTAAGATGATATAGGCTTTTCTTTAAACAGTTATGATCCTTCCAATTCAAGTTGTCCTATTAAGCCTGACAACATCCCTATGAGACATGGAGTTCATTTCATTTCAACTCATGAACTAAAGATTTCAGGGTCCCAACTCAAAACACAACTGCTTAGTGTATTTCATTCCATGCCAACTTATCAGTGAAATCAAGGTTGATTTCAACACTATTACTTCACAGGTTAAAACTAGAAAAGGTTTCCTTAACCACATAAGATTTGGGATCATCATCTTCAATGAAAGAATATTATTAAATCTTGGACCCCAAGGTTTATTTTAATAAAGAGGAAATGGGAAATGTTTGAGATACACATGATCAGAAGAATAATGAAATGATCTTTTGGGGTATACTCTCTTGAGTATTCAGATTTATATAGGAAATCAATGGTTAAAGAGCATTCAGGTCTACCTGAAGCTTACCCGTCATCAAAAGACATATAGATAAACAAAGAAACTGAAATCTTACCTAATTCATTAATAGAAGCCGATATTGTAATGACTGATTTGATGTAGTCTTGATCAGAAAATGAAAATATATTGAGCATTGATGCTTCAGGTTATTTCTGCCCTGTAAAGAAAACACATATGTGCAAGAATTTTTTTTCTGTGATGGAATCTTAATAATTTATTTCTTCTGATACAATTAAACTTAGCTTGATAGAAAAATTCTGGGATTTGACCTCTGAAGTGACATTGACTAATCACGAAATTCACTAGTAATGTCTACTTCTTATCACATTACTATATAACCAGATTATAGTTATAACTAGATCTGTTATCCAGTTAGAACAGTTCAGAGGCTCCATTCGGAGGCTAGCCTTTGGTGTTTATGACAGATCATCTCTTGGACTTGCTACTGGGCTTGCCAAAGTTCTCTCAACTCAGTTTAAGATGGTAGCCTCTTCTTTCTTTCTTTCTTTTTTTTTTTTTTAAAGATTTTCAGAGGGAGAAGCAGACTCCCTGCCGAGCAGGGAGCCCGATGCGGGACTCGATCCTGGGACTCCAGGATCATGACCTGAGCCGAAGGCAGTAGCTTAACCAACTGAGCCACCCATAGCCTCTTCTTTCAATCGCCAAATCACACACTCTAAATTCTGGTCCTTCTCAATCTCATCCTCTAGGCTTTGTCAGTTTTTTCTTCCAAAACCCACAAAACAAACTGCCTGGATCAAAACCTGACATCTGGAAAAGCTAAGATAGGCCAATGAGTGCCTGAAGCACAGGTTCCTGGGATGTATGCACCTGCTAGAAACTGGTCTGTCTCCACCATCTCCTTTTCAGAGGCCACCAACAGTCTTCAGATGTTAACGACTTCCAGCTTTTGGTGGCTTGTGACTCATTTGAATGTGTAACCTGGAGGAGAAAGCTGCCATACACTTGTATGGCAGCCGCACATTACCCCAAAGTTATTTTTAAAGTTTACAAGCCTGGTTCAGCCTCCTTAAAAGTCCCCCTTAAGCCTACAAAAGCAAATTCAAAGTGAAGGACAAAAGTTTTCAGGCAGTAATTAAACCGTTAGCTATGCTATTATACCTTTGTTGCCCTGTCCCCTGGCAGCCTAACAATTAATCTTTTCAGAAGAGAGGAAAAATGAGTTACACACAGGAACTACAGAGCTTACAGCAGCCCTGTGCTATTAATTTTAATAACATGAAAAGATAAACATATGTCACTCACTCATAGCCAAATGAGCATCTACAGAGCCCTGCCCTGGTGTACATCTAAAATTTATAACTCAGGTTTCTTTACCTAAGACATTTTAGGCCATTTAAATATTTTCACATTGCTTAATCAGAAAAAATATGGGTATATAATTTTATTCCACTCATTTAAAAATAAATGCATTTAAAATATTTGTAAAACGACAGGTCATTTTCTTAGCTAGTGCCACCTTCCTTCATTTTTAAAACCATAAAAGACGAAGCAAGAACAAGATTATACAACCTCTTATTTTATGTATTTTTTCAACATACTCTAGCTCCTGGAAGAAAAGAGATGATTTTATTTTTTCATCCTAAATCTTCTTCTGAAAAGCTTTTATTCTCAGTTTCATATGATACAATTGAATCAAATGCTAAAAGAATGAAACACTCTCTCCCGCAATTTCTTAAGCATGCGTCTAGAAAAAAAAATTACTGCTGGCAGGAGGAACTGTCAGTATGAATCTCAGCAGAAGTAAATTGTTTGGTATTTGTAATGGAGTATAATAGCTATAATTCCACTTGAGTTGCTGCCACTAATAAGCTGATAAAAACTGTGAGTTGAGACCCAGGTGTCCATCAGTCTATGGCTTCCACAAATGTCCCTGCACATTCACTTAATCACAGAGACAGGTAACCCAATCCCTTTAGAAGTACTGTGTCTGACAATGAGGGGCCCAAGCTGGCTCTTCCCACAAAGAGAATGCAAAAGCACAGCTGCATACTGACTCCAGAGGAGTTTTCTTATCAGCAATTACCAGGAATTTTCTTAGACGTTCCCAGCTCCTGCAAAGTTGTAAGACAGTAAACTTAAATGTGCTCACCATTAGAAATGGGCTAGGTGAAAATACTTCTTTCTCATGAAAAGTAGTCACCAAATCAAAAATGACTCAGAAATTAAAATATACTGTCTCACATGCTTCAGGATTGTGACCCTAATGCTCACCTGTTGCCAAAAAGTTGATTTAGTAACAAAGCATTTCTACTTAAATGATTAGAAGTCCGAATACACTGTTTGGTTTGTGTGTGAAGGCAAAAACAACTGGAATCCAGAACTGTGTGTCATCACACGAACATTTTAACAAGAGTAAAATAAAGAGTAATATCTCTCATTGGAAATACTGGCCCAGGGAGTAAAGAGGCTTGAGGTCCAGTCTTCTGACTTGCTGAGTGATCTTACACACATCACTTAAATGCAATTGCCTACAAGTTTTTATATGGAGAAAATGGAGTAGAAATAATAATGTTGTAATAAAAGCATGGGCTTTGTTGGCAGGAGAGCTTTGAAAAGTAGCTGGTATTTGGCAAGTTTATTTTTTATTTAACCTGTTGAATAAAAAGCATAATGTACAATTATGCTCATTCTATTAATGATCAAATAAATGGCCCATGCAGGAAACATTAAACCTTTATGTAAATATATCGTCCTCAGGAGCCTGAACTCCTGAACAATGCTCATCTCACACACTCACTCTCCAATGTGAATAGGTGCACTGCTGAGCTTACGCAGGCTTTCGGAAAGAGCACATGTCCACATATGAGTAACTGTTCTATCTCAGTATCCTGGAGTCCTGCAGAAGCTGTAACAGCCCCAGAACAAGGAGGAAAGTCTTAGAAGAAGGAAGAGTGTTCTATAGCACTGTCTGCAGAATAAAAAAACTACTGTACTCATACATATTCGCTTCAATTGTGTGTTGTTCCTACCATTTTTTTCATGAAGAGATGCTTGTGCTATGTTCTCAACAATGTATTTTCTTCTGGCTTCTGAAATATTTAGTAAACAAGCAGCCAAACGGAGCCCCATGGAAGAAGACATGGTGATTTTTCTAGAATAGGAAAAAAATTACTGTTCATTTTGGTCTGTATGGCTCATTCATATTTTCATGTTCATTAACCATAAATATAGTTTTTGGAAACCAGACAGTCATAATATGAACACTTCACTATTTTATTCCCGGAGAACACCTAAAAGAAAAAATCCTCAGATTGAGTCAACCAAGACACCATGTGTATGCAGTCATGCACATATGAACCTACAAACATAGTAACAATACTAGAAAATATAGGGCAAGTTACTCAGCCTGAATTGTCATGCAAATGAAAATACTTGTTAAAGTATTTTATTCCCTTTTAAACACCATTTTCCTTAGATTATCCCCATTTTCAAGGTCTATACTACTTAACATATAAGCTTAATCCTCGTTAAATGAGATTTACTAGGGAAATGTAGAAAAGGGAAATGAACAAAATTCTTATAAAAACTACTTTTCTGGCAAAAAGAAAAGTTATCTCTATGCGCCATGCTATAGGCAATATGTGAACAAATAAAAAGGACTCATTTGGGTGCTGTAAGATACCAGGTGTTTAGACAACTATTTGACTAAATTCCTCTCATACTTTAATCCCCAAAGTTCCTTTATGAGTTTAAAATCTTTTCACAGGACTCTCTTCCTTGAACTAAATCTGACATATATTCTATAATGAATCAATAATGCCAAAAACGTGACTGATGCCCTTTTGTTGAAAGTGGATTAATTACAAAATAATTCCCCTTTTCAAGATCAGGCCATATTTTGGTCTCTTTTAAATATAACTAAACATGGCCCTCACGAATTCATTCAACAAATTATTTCATAAGGGTTATCTTGTATCAGGCAATGTTCTCAGGGTGAGGAATACCGCAGTGAATGCTGTCCAAGTTTGAGACAAACGTTAAGCTTATGAGTTTAAGCTAAACTGTGCTCTGGTGCAAATAACAGTGCAGTCGATGCATAAATGCTCTGGCTTCTGTTCACTAGGATTTTCATTGGCCTAATCGTCCTAACCTAGAGGGAATGCAGGGCTCCGTGGCTAGTTTAGGTTTATAAGCAACTTTTCATATCGGGACCATCATCTCATGACTGAAAATTAATTAAAATATGGCCATTAGGTTTTTGTAGACATTAATAACATCGTTGTAATAAAGCAGCTCAGACCTCTCTCGTTTCTGTGTAAACAAAAAATTGCTTTACACAAGGGGTGTGGGCGTCTTCTGGCTTTCATTTGTTTTCAGTGTGTTTATGTAGCTTAATTGTCTCATCAGGCACTTTCCCAACATAATTATGCTTTTTAACAAATGGTGTTTATGGCAACCCCTAACAGTGCAAAAGAAAGGATTAGTTTCATCCTCTCATTCCACATTTTGATTCCCTGTGGACAGTTAAATCACACAAAGATGGTGTTAGAAAAATCTACCTTCACAGCAAAAGCTTAAATTAGCGGCCACCAGGCTCTTGGAGAGCAGTCAGGCTTGTTAGCAAAAAGGGTAAGTGTTTCCCTGCCTCTTCCACTTACAAAGTAACCCACAGCAACCTCGCAAACAGTGGTTTGGAAGAATGCGCTCCTAGTCCGCCCATCCCTCCAATCACAATCCAATTACTTCCGGCCATAAACTAAAAAACTGCCTCCCCACGGGGAACCAGCAAGGCCAGCGCCCAGTGGAGCAGTTCGCGACAGTTCCGCCAGATCACCTGCCTGCCGGCGCACACACCACCGTTCGCGCTTTTAGGGCCGCCAAAAGGCTCGCCGAGGGGGCGGTAGTGCGTGCTGAGGCGGGAACCCGCCGCTGGGATGCCCTGCGTGGCCCCGCCCCGGTTCCGGTGTGGAGTGGCTCAGGGCCACGTGGGCAGACGCTAACCCGAGGGACTCGGCGCGGGCCTTAGGGCAGTCTCCCGCTGCCCCGCGAGGCCCGCCGGGAGCAGCGTCTGCGGGCCGCGGGGCCCGGGAGCGAAGGACGGTCGCGGCGGGGCCGCCGGGGTCGGCTCTCGAGCCAGCGCCGGCGCTCGCGGACGCATCGGGAAGGAAACCGAGCTGCGCGCGTGGAGGGACGGCGGGGTAGGGGTAGGACGGCGCGGAGCCGGGGTCGCCGCGCGACAGCGGCGCGCAGCTTCCGCCGCCGGCCCCGCCCCCTGACGCCCCGCTCGCGCTCCAGCCCGCCGCGCGCCGCCCCGAGCGCGCTCCGCGAGTCGCTGCCTGACCTCAGCTCCGCGCTCCCCGCGCTCCCCGCGCTCCCCGCGCTCCCCGCAGCCCGGCGGCCCCGAAAGCTTAACGTTCTGCTTGGAATTGCCTTTTCGCCCCCCGTCCTTTAGCTTGGGATTCCCCACAGTTGTCTCTTGTAAATGAATGACTTTTTAAAAGGGCATTAGAATCTAATGATGAGGTCATTACCCATTAATCATACACCCAGCAGGGGGCTCTGGCGCACACGCAGACGCACCCTGCTAGTAAAGTCTCTGCTGAGAAATAATGCCCGCAAGCGCTTGTGAGTAGGAGCTGGACCCACCCTCAGACGACAAAGCTGTACTAGCACCTGCCCGTTTACCCAAAAGTTACGAGCGGTATGAACCAAGCATTAAGCATTTCCCTTTTTTCTAGGCCAGTGAACCTTGAGAACACATTTCTCCTACAAAAACCTGTTTTTTTAAAAAATATATATAGCAAGGATTAAATGTCACCATTTTGATCCAATTTCGTTCCTGAAGTGAAATAATCACTAAATAACTACTTTGACAGAATAAATTAATTTTTAAATCTATTTTTTTATTTTCTAATTATACTTTTTAAACACAGATTTGAGGAAATTAACATTTATGTGGACATTTGGTTTCTAGCCTAATGTGGCATAAAAATAAGTAACATAATGAGTGTTAAAAAAAATCAGGTTCATGATGCTTCTCACATCATCATCATTGTACTTAGATGTCACAACAGTATTATGTGCGATTGTGTCAGATCCAGCCTTCTCCATCTCGGAGTGTTGGCAGGTAGGAGGGTTGTTGGCAAGAGGAGGGGTGTTAACCTCAGGATCCTGGATTCATTCCAAGGCTGGTAATTACATTCTGCCAGCCAAAATTCATCCCATAATTTTAATTGGATAAATCCTTTCTGGCCTAAGCTACTGCTATGCCTGTCAAACTGTTGCCACATTTCACCCCAGAGGTGTCTGTGTTTTAGTTGCAAGAATCAGTCCCTTTGAGGTTGGCTTATCAATTTAAATCCTCAAAGTGCTTTGGGATCCTATGGAATTAAATATATATTTAGGTATTTTTTCTACTGAATCTGCAATAGAAATGCATAAAATATACACCCATGTTAATGCCTAAAAACCAATACCCATCTAATGTCAGCAAATAATTTCAAAATAATTTAACTAGACTGATGTCCCTAACTTTCTCTTCTCTCCTTTTGAGAGCTTTTACTGACCATAGCATTAGCTTCCAGTTAACAAAAAGTACTGCAATGTCCAACATTTCCTTCCAAGGAGGACAATGGAACTGAAGGCCCTGTATCTCACCATTCCAAACAATCCCATGATGAGACTACTCGCTACAATGGAAGACGTAGTAACAGTACATCTAGTCTTATCTGTCTCTCCAGAGAAAACAGTGTGACACCTAGGGGCTCAGGGTTCTAGCTGTAACAACTGCTAGAACTGAAGCTTCTTCCCCACATCTCCTAATCCTCTCTGTGAGAAAGTCTTTCCCTTTACAGAGCTGCTGGGGTTAAGATAACATTTCTGAAAGCATCAACACCCAGCAGTTACTCAGTAAACCTTAACCCCTTTCTCCACTCTACTGAGGTCAGACAGAAATGAGAGAAGGCAGGGTCTCAGCATTCTTTGTGGAGAGGGCAGCATCTGCCCCTGCCTCAGAACTGTAAGCATGTCTTTTCGGAAAAGACAAGGAAATGGATACAAACACGTCTGATGAAAAGTTCAGCAGTAAGATTTAAAGTCTTATTTTGCTCTCTTAAAGAATTGAAAAGTATGCGATGCCTGGGTGGCTCAGTAGGTTAAGTGTCTGCCTTCGGCTCAGGTCATGATCCCAGGGTCCTGGGATAGAGCCCCACATCGGGCTCCCTGCTCAGCGAGGAGTCTGCTTCTCCCTCTGCCTCCGAGTGCTCCCCTTGCTTGTGCTCTGTATCTCTCTCTCTCTGACAAATAAATAAAATCTTTAAAAAAAAAGAAGGAAGGAAGGAAAGGAAGGAAGGATTGAAAAGTACCTTTGGTGTTACTTTAGCTCAGCCACATGTAATCCTGACTTTTTTGTTATTTAAAAGAGCTCTATGTCACATTTACAATGTATAAGCATCAAACTTCTAATTATTTAACTTAGCATGCTTTGGAGGAGTTTTTCATACATTTTAGGTGAACACGCTATTTTGACTACTCGTTTCTCCTGCTAAATCCACGTTCAGGGCATTAGGTCCTTTGATCATTACGGTTCCTGTCCAAAAACAAATAGGCACTGGAAGAGAGCATAGCTACAAGTCCCAGTGTCAATTCTGTCGGTGATACCTGTTTCCTAACACTCCCATTGGTCCCTTGTGAGACAAAGATAGTTTTCTCTACCCCTCATTTTCATTTTTGCCAGCAAGGAGAGCATAGGTCTTATAGGAGCCTCCCCTGGCCCATCAGAACTGAGGTGGGTAAAAGGGAGAGGTTGTGCTCTGGTTTGGCCCCATAGAGCTACGGGAACAGAGCGCTCAGGTGCTGCTTGAGCAGGGCTGGGATCAGGGTAAGGGATTGAGGCATTCACCTCACATGCAAAATCAAGTGGGTGCCAAAAAACTTGGTAATGCAGTACCCTAAGAAGTCAAGATTAATGCAAAATAAGAAATCCGTGGTGAACAAAATAACATTTTAAGACAGAACCATACCCTGTACTTGTCCAAGTTGGTCACCCTCAGCTCACCCTGATCCCTGCCCTGTGGTTGCATTCCCCTTTGTACCAGTCTGTTCCTGATTGAAGGGTTAAGAGGAAACTGTACCACTCTGCCCTGCCTGCATCCTCTCTTTGGGCCCCCAAAATGGGCAACAAAACCAGAAATGTCAAGGGTAAAAATTTCCAAGCCAGTGGTTACATATAATTTATAGTCTGTTCAAGAGTTCTCTAGACCTCCATATATAGGCGACTTGGCCAACTTACCTCAAGAGAAGGCAAACCCTTATTTGAACAAGCAAAAGAATCAACTCTATTAACTAAATACATTTCCTTACCTATTTATCTGACACATTTCAAAATATGGTAATTAGAAAGTTTCCTATTGCACTTGGGAATTTTGAAATAATGTTTTAAAGACCATTTAAAATCAATGCTATGAGTCTGTTTTCTATCTTCATATTCCAGCACTTACCTCTGTTCAGGAAAATGTGAGAATTTCCCTTAGAAAGACAGAAATCTAATTCCTTTTTTTAAAAAAAAGATTTATTTATTTATTTGAGAGAGAGAGAGAAAGAGCACGAGCAGGGGGAGGGGAGGAGGGAGAGGGAGAGAATCCTCAAGCAGACTCCCTGCTAAGCACAGAGCCTGACTCAGGGCTCAATCCTAGGGCCCTGAGATCATGATCTGAGCCGAAATCAAGAGTCGGATGTTGAACCAACTAAGCCACTCAGGCGCCCCAGAAATCTAATTCCTAATGCATTTTTTTTCTTCAAAGATTTTACTTTCACCCTCTTTTTGCTCTATAGCAGATTTCATTCTGCCTTCTTTCTTCGTGAAACATGGAAAGATTTTATTTCTTCTTTCATGTAAATGTGGTCTGATAAATGAATAATTTTAAAAAGGGACTTTAGTTATCATTCCAGGACAAGTTAAATACAGAAGTGGTTTTAATTACTTGTTTTAAATTGTTGAATCATGTGATATCATGGAATATCTGTTCTATTAGTCATTTTCTAAAACAGCAAATGGGTTTCACTGCTGCCATTTTTAGTTTGTAGTGGGGGAAGTTATGCTAGTAATTTATTTATTTATTTATTTATTTATTTATTTATTTATTTATTTATTTATTTATTTAAAGATTTTATTTATTTGAGAGAGAGAGAATGAGAGACAGCATGAGAGAGAGGAGGGTCAGAGGGAGAAGCAGACTCCTTGCTGAGCAGGAAGCCTGATGTGAGACTCGATCCTGGGACTCCAGGATCATGACCTGAGCCGAAGGCAGTCGCTTAACCAACTGAGCCACCCAGGCGCCCCGCTAGTAATTTATTTTAAATGAGTAAAAGGAGCTTCATGTCCAGAAAGAAGTTATAAAAACAGAAATACCTCCCTTGCCCATACACCGCTGCCTTAATTACAGGAAATGATCTCCAGCCATTTTTGTCTTAATGAAGGCATAAAAAAACCCACAAGATTTCTGGAATTAACCTTCTTCACCTACCTTTTTGGGAAATGTCTTTCCCTTTACACAATACGGATTCGGTTGGCTGAATTTACCATAAAAGAGCAGTAGGCTAGAATGTAAGCATAGTTACTAGCTTAAATTGGAATCACTTGTTATGCATTTTGTTCATTCATACTAGGAATATGTCATGTAATTAGCCAAAAATTAAGTCTATGACCTATCCACCTTAATTCATCCTTTGCCTTTTTATACCATGTATACCATGTTTTATACCACATATACCTTTTTATTCCATGTGGTCACTCAGTTGTGCATTCCTTTATTATGGAACCTAGGCATTGAATGGAATGAAGTGTCTCCTAGGCCTTTCTCCAAAGCTGTTTTTTCATAGCTATTAGTCATATTGCAGATGAAAAACAATTCCTAAAATATACTTTGCATTTTTGCTGAAAATTTATTCTTAACTTATGGGACTACATTAGAATTATTTCTAAAACTATAATTCACAGACTGTATATTATATCCAGAAAAATGCTGGGAATGTTTAGAAACATTTTCCCCCAAGTAACATGAATTTTGGTTGTGTCGTGAGGTTTTGTCAAGAAATATTTACTTTAAAATGCCCACCACTGGGTGATGACTGCCAATTTTCATTAAGAAAGATAATATATCTTGTGACAGTCCCAGTAGTGGCCAGTCATGCTCTGTGTAATTGTAGGTACTTCTGTATTGCATCATTTAATGTCCCATGTATATGCAAGAGAATGTCAACTCTTACTGATACCAGGAGAGTAACCTCCTATATGCACAGG